TTGTGATGAGGAAACAACATTATAACACAGATCAGAACAGTGTGATACAAATCCCTTTAAACATTTCCAGTGTTTGTTGAAGTTGCAGTAGGAAGTGTAGAAACTGTGAGAAATCTCTGGTATGAGAGTGTGATTTGCAGTTGTCAGTGTGACCTCGGACTGCGCTGGCTTTAAATGGTCTTAATTACACGCCGGGACTCCTCACATGTAGAGCTGACACAGTTACCGCAAAATACTGCAATATTCAGGCCAAACCTTTGAGTCACGCAGTACTGGCTCCTGCTCCCTGCTACTACAAAACTGTCACGACTACTGCAGGTTTTTGTACTCAGTATACTGTATTCTGGCACTGTTACGTTCTCATTTAGTGTCATTCAGAATACAGGCAAGGCAAGTTTATTTGTACAGCACAATTCGTACACAAAGTAATTCAAAGTGCTTTACAGAATAAGAAATACATTAAAATCATAATAAAAACTAATCAAAACATAAATAATCATGAAGATTAAAATTAAAAAAGAGAGACATAAATTGGAGAGAAGTGCGGAATGAAAACCTTTCAGTTATATGCACAGTTAAACAGAAATGTTTTGAGTCTGGATTTAAACAGCGTCACAGAAGAGTCTGTCTCACATGTTCAGACTGTTCCAGGTTTTAGCTGCATGAACCTGAAACTCTGACTCCCCTTGTTTAGTCGTGACTCTGGGCACCAGCAGGAGTTGGTCCCTGAGCTCCTCAGAGTGTGAGATGTTCATATGACACTAACATGTCACAGATGGACTTTGGTGCTCGACCATGGAGACACTTGTACAAACAGAGCTGCTTTAAAGTCTCTGAGCCACAGGAGCCAGAGCAGAGACCTGAGCACAGGACTTATGTGCTCGTACTTCCTAGTTCGAGTCAGGACCTGAGCTGCAGCGTTCTGGATGTTCTGGATGTTCTGGATGTTCTGGATGTTCTGGATGTTCTGCAGCGTCTCACAGCTCGTTTGGAGAGACCAGTGAGCAGAACATTACAGTATCTAACCTACTGGAGACAAACGCATGGATAAGTTTCTCCAAGTCTGATTTAGACAGTAAACCTTTGATTTTTGCTATGTTTTTTAGATGGTAAAAGGCTGCAGATGTTATTGATTTGATGTGGCTGTTAAAGTTCAAGTCTGAGTCCATTATTACCCCGAGATTTCTTGCCTGATTTGAAGGTTACAGGTACTTTTCTGAAATCTACAGAATACAGAATTTAACAGAATTTTGATTGTGATTTTCAATTTGTGTGTCACATGATCTCCAAACTCATAAAATCAAGTTAAAACTATGTAAAGCTTAAATATAAAATTGTAGAACAGCTGGATATAGAGTTTATTTTGGATACATTTATGTTTTTTTTAATGCCTTATTTTATGGAGTAAGAAAGCTTTCAAAAATATTCATGCGCATAGAATAGAAATCCGTGCATATTTGGCTGTAGTTGCGCATAAAATAAATATTTGTAAACTCTCCAATGAGTCCAGTCGTACATAAAATATATTGTGTGTATTTTATCCATCAGAATACGAACTGAAAAGTTACGACGTCAAGAATTACAATTATGAAATGAAAATGTACGATTACGCTTCCGTCAGTACGAATTCACAGACGCGACTTTACTGTCAAAAATACGTCATCACTTCACAGACTTTATTTATCGAGCAGAAGAAACATCGATCAAGATCAAGACTGAGCATGTTTATGTTTGTAGCAGAGTAAAAACAGAGTAAAAGCACAAGGAGCTACAACAGAAAAACAACAAGTGGGTGAATTTAAATTTATTGTAAAAATGTCTTGAATTCAGGAATCGAACGCTGCTGTGTAATATTGTGTAGAAACACCTCCTCTGAACGGGAAATTGCACCTATATGTTAGATAACAGAGTGGAGCCAGTTGGCAACATCAGACGTAACGTTATCCCAGGGCTAATTAACAAATATCAGGTTCTCTGTATGTTTAGATTAAAACATTCACGGCTACAGCCACAGCGAGCATCAGTCAGTCTGAACCTTCATCTTCAGCTGCATTTCTCACATGAAATGCACCAACAGTTCCTCAGGACGCTGAAATGTCCCAGTTTACACCAAACACGACCAAACTGTCCTGGTTACAGACGTCACTGTCATGGTTCATGTTTTGTAGTGGTTGTAGTTTGTGTTTTATTTTGACATTTGTCCTGTCACCTTGTATTTTTGAGTTTTACTTCCTGTCTTGATTGTTTGTCCCGCCCTAATGTGTTTCACCTGTGTCTATGTGTGTGTATTTATACCCTGTGTTCTCCTCTGCCCTTGGTTGGTCCATTGTCTCTGTCCGAGTGTCTCCGTGTCTCTTGTCATGGCAATTTAGTCTTTGAATTTTGGATTTTTTTGATTTGTCATTAAATATTTTTGAAGCAGTCCTGCGTTTTGGGTCCTCCCTCTGTTTCCACGTGACAGTCACAGCCAATGAAATGTTACACATTACAGTTTAATGCAGCTTCCAGCATCAATTAATGTTGGTGTTTACAGGCAACACCTTGTATATATACAGTATTCATTCGTAAGTATAACGTCACTGTGTCGTGTCGTGGATGGATTTGCTAATTATAACCCATTATAACTCATATATAACCCATTGTCTTTCTTACTCCATATTATTTCATGTTCAAAGTTTATTTTATTCATTTTATGTTTTATACGTTGCAAAACTGCTCTTAGGTTCAGAATTGTAGCCTGTATTTATTTGCAGATTTGAAAGTTTTGCGTAAATTATTAATAACAAAGTGTTTTTTTTGAAAGAGAAATGCTGAATAAATGTGTTGTGTAACTAAAAAATAATCGTTTCAACAATCGTGATTTCAGAATTGACCAAAATAATCGTAATAATGACAGTGAAACAAACATAACCTTATTTTTAATCCTATGTTGCATCTTTATTCTGTAACTTATATGTGTAAAAGTATTCTAAGTATTCAGAATACAGTACTCTGATTGGGCCGTGTAACTGAACACAAAACAAAATACATTTAAATGCAGGTATTGTGGTTTTCTGTTTTCTTCAGATCACTGCTTGTATTCCTGAAATGTTTTGTCGACAAATCTTTTCTTTTTTTTCAAGTCTTTTCTACTCTCTAATTCTAACTTAAAATTATGAATCAGGTCAAACTCTTGGTCTAAACTTGGACTGTTATAGGTCGAGTGTTGGGGAAGTAACTGAATACATGTACTGAAAATGAAAAGGCTTGGAGATTATTAATCGATACAGATTTCATTACCAATAAACCAATGATTAAAATAGATTTTCTTAACCTCAAACCTCAATTTGACTCGGTCTGAAACCCAATTCTCAACCAAATCCAGGATTAAAACAAAAACAAATCCAAATCAAAACTGAGTCTTAACCAGGACGAAATCATACTGTAGCTAACCAATATTTAAACCAGGTCTAGACCAAGTTCTAGACCAGGACCAAGGGTTTTGAAGAGCTTTGCACCTGCTCAAATCTCAATTTGACTCTGAAAACCAGTTCTCAACCAAATCGGACTATACCAGGACTGAATAAAGACAAGACAAACTAAACTGGGTCTTAACCATGATTATATCATACTGTATCTAACCCATGTTTAAACCAGGTTTAGACCAAGTTTTAGACCAGAACCATGGGTTTTGAAGAGCTTTCTGCCCACTCAAACCTCAATTTGACTCTGAAAAACCAGTTCTCAACCAAACTGGATTATCCCAGGACTGAATAAAGACAAGACAATCTAAACTGGGTCTTAACCAGGACTAAAAAAAGTTTAAACTAGGACTATATCAAATATAACCCTTCTTTAATCCAGGTCTAGACCAAGTTCTACAACAGGACCATGGGTTTTAAAACCTCAACCTCATTTTGACTAGATCTGAAAACCAGTTTTCAACCAAATTCAGGATTAAAACAAAAACAAACCCAAATCTAAACTGGGTCTTTATCAGGACTATATCATACTCTATCTAAACCACGTTTAAACCAGGTCTAGACCAAGTTTTAGACCAGGACCAAGGGTTTTGAAGAGCTTTGCACCCGTTCAAATCTCAATTTGACTCTGAAAACCAGTTTCCAACCAAATCGAATTATACCAGGACTGAATAAAGACAAGACAAACTTAAACATAACTATATCAAATATAACCCATCTTTAAACCAGGTCTAGACCAAGTTCTACACCAGGACCATGGGTTTTGAAACCTCAACTTCAATTTGACTCGATCTAAAAAACAGTTCTCAACCAAATCAAACTATACCAGGATTAATCAAAGAAAAACCCAAATCAAAACTGAGTCTTAACCAGGACTAAATCATACTATATCTAATACTCTATCTAACCCATATTTAAACCAGGTCTAGACCAAGTTCTAGACCAGGACCATGGGTTTTGAAGAGCCTTCTGCTCACTCAAATCTTAATTTGACTCTGAAAACCAGTTCCCAACCAAACTGAACTATACCAGGACTGAATAAAAATAAACCCAAATCTAAACTAGGACTAAATAAAGTCTACACCAGGACTATATCAGACCTAACCCATCTTTAAACCAAGTTCTGGACCAGGACCTTGGGTTTTGAAGAGCTTTCTACCCACTCAAAACTCAATTTGACTCGGTCTGAAAACCAATTTTCAACCAAATCGGACTGTACCAGGACTAAACAAAGATAAACCCAAATCTAAACTAGGACTATATCAGATCTAACCCATCTTTAAACCAGGTCTAGACCAAGTTCTGGACCAGGACCTTGGGTTTTGAAGAGCTTCACGCCCACTCAAACTCCTGGAGTGGTCTCGGTGACAGAGCCGGTGTCACGTTTCTCAGAGCTGGAGGCGATTCTCCTGATTCTCTTTGTGTCGAGTCTGGCCTCCTCCTCATTTGCATAAACCCCGCCCACACCCTCGTCCCGCGCTCCGATTGGCCGAGGTCTCCGCTCTGCTCTGGAATCGCACTTCCAAACTCCAGTCCGAGGGAAAGTGTGAGAATGAACAGGAGCCCGGCCGCTGCAGCTTGAGTGAGTACAGGAACTCAACTTTTTTCATTTTCTAAACTTTTCCTGAGACTGAAAATAGTGTCATTTAGTCACGTTCTTAAATAGCTTCATCTCTTCTTGCACTTTAATTCAGTTTTACTCCCACAATTACTAAATTACTTTCTACTAATGGCAACTGTACAATGAAAAGCTAAAATCTAGTCAAGTTAAGACGACTTGAATTAAGAAAGTTTGACAAAAATTTGAGTAATTTTCACTTGAAAGCAAATTTATCTTAAGACTTTTTGTACTTAAAATAAGAAAATACATCTTGCTTTTTTCAAGATAAGAAATTTAAGATAAGAAAAAGAAAATAAGAAACTAAATCTTAGAAAAACACACTTGTTGCATTGGTCGATCGTTTTACTTAAGTTGACTCGACTCAAATAAAGTCAAATATTCTTAGTTTAAGTCTTTTTAACTTACTTACATATTTCTTTTTGCAGTGTTTGTAACTTTTTGGCCAAATATAGACAAAATAAGAACTAGAAACATGTTTTTTGTCATTTTCTTTTTCAATTTGGTTGTTTTTATTGCACTAGAAAATACAGAAAACATGCATTTTTACTCTGAGTGGGCTCGCATCTCCACAAACCTGACTCTTATTTGGACTGAATTAGGGTCTAGTTTCTTTTTCTTCTTGTTGTTTCCATGGAAATGTTGTTCCTTTGGCTGTAATATTCGACATTTCGGCTTAAAACTTATTTATCTCCATGTTTAATGTTGTCACTAAATATATTTACACTTTTTTGTGTGTAACTTTCCGCTCTACTTTACATTTATTCAGTTACAGATGAATTTACTGCTAAAAAATAACAATACCTAGAAAAACAGGAATTGTGTGTGAGCGGGGTCGCCTCTCCACAGATCTGACCTCTAACTTCGTCTGGTTTCTTCTCATTCCAGACGAAGCAAAAACATCTCCCTGGAGAAAAGTTTTTGACGGAACCTCCATTAGAAAAGTTACACACAAACAAAAAAAAAAAAAAAAACATATTTAGTGACAACATTACACGTGGAGATAAATAAGTTTTAAGCCAAAATGTCGAATATTACAGCCAAAGGAACAACATTTCCATGGAAACAACAAGAAGAAGAAGAAAACATGCGTCCTTACTCTAAGTGGACTCGCATCTCCACAAACCTGACTCTTCTTTGGACTGAATTAGGGTCTATTTTATTCTTCTTGCTGTTGTTTCCATGGAAATGTGGTTCCTTTGGCTGTAATATTCGACATTTTGGCTTAAAACTTTTTAAAATGTATCTCCAAGTTTAATGTTGTCACTAAATATATTTACTTTTTTTGTGTGTATCTTTGCAGTGGAGGTTCAGCTCTACTTTACATTTATTCAATTACAAGTGGATTTAGTGCTAAAAAATAACAATACCTAGAAAAACAGACATTCTGACTGATGCGGGGTCGCCTCTCCGCAGATCTGACCCGTAACTTGGTCTGGTTTCTTTTCCATAATTGTACTGTGAAGCAAAAACGTCTCCCAGGAGAAAAGTTTTGGATGGAACCTCAATTAGAAAAGTTACAGTTGACAACATTAAACACAAAGATAAATAAGTTTTAAGCCAAAATGTTGAATATTACAGCCAAACGAACATTTCCATGGAAACAAGAAGAAGAAAACATGCATCTTTACTCTGAGTGGGCTCGCATCTCCACAAACCTGACTCTTATTTGGACTGAATTAGGGGCTGTTTTCTTCTAGTTGTTGTTGTTTCCATGGAAATGTTGTTCCTTTGGCTGTAATATTCAACATTTCGGCTTAAAACTCATTTATCTCCATGTTTAATGTTGTCACTAAATATATTTACACTTTTTTGTGTGTAACTTTCTGCTCTACTTTACATTTATTCAGTTACAGATGAATTTACTGCTAAAAAATAACAATACCTAGAAAAACAGGAATTCTGTGTGAGCGGGGTCGCCTCTCCACAGATCTGACCTCTAACTTCGTCTGGTTTCTTCTCATTCCAGACGAAGCAAAAACATCTCCCTGGAGAAAAGTTTTTGACGGAACCTCCATTAGAAAAGTTACACACAAACAAAACAAAAAAAAAACATATTTAGTGACAACATCACACGTGGAGATAAATAAGTTTTAAGCCAAAATGTCGAATATTACAGCCAAAGGAACAACATTTCCATGGAAACAACAAGAAGAAGAAGAAAACATGCGTCCTTACTCTAAGTGGACTCGCATCTCCACAAACCTGACTCTTCTTTGGACTGAATTAGGGTCCATTTTATTCTTCTTGTTGTTGTTGTTTCCATGGAAATGTGGTTCCTTTGGCTGTAATATTCGACATTTTGGCTTAAAACGTTTTAAAATTTATCTCCAAGTTTAATGTTGTCACTAAATATATTTACTTTTTTTGTGTGTATCTTTACTGTGGAGGTTCAGCTCTACTTTACATTTATTCAATTACAAGTGGATTTAGTGCTAAAAAATAACAATACCTAGAAAAACAGACATTCTGACTGATGCGGGGTCGCCTCTCCGCAGATCTGACCCGTAACTTGGTCTGGTTTCTTCTCCATAATTGTACTGTGAAGCAAAAACGTCTCCCAGGAGAAAAGTTTTGGATGGAACCTCAATTATTAAAGTTACAGTTGACAACATTAAACACAAAGATAAATAAGTTTTAAGCCAAAATGTTGAATATTACAGCCAAACGAACATTTCCATGGAAACAAGAAGAAGAAGAAGAAAACATGCATCTTTACTCTGAGTGGGCTTGCATCTCCACAAACCTGACTCTTATTTGGACTAAATTAGGGTCTACTTTCTTCTTCTTCTTCTTGTTTGTGTGTAACTTTTCTAATCGAGGTTCCTTCAAAAACTTTTCTCCATAGAGATGTTGTTGCTTTGCCTGGAATGTTTCACAGTACGGCATTAAACCTTTCTATCTTCATGGAGACCGAACCAGACCAAGTTAAGAGGTCAGATCTGTGGAGAGGCGACGCCGCTCACAGTCAGAATGTCTGTTTCTCTGGATATTTTTGCAGTAAATCCATCTGTTATTGAATAAATGTAAAGTAGAGTGACAACATTAAACATGGAAAGTCAAAATGTCGAATATTACAGCCAAAGGAACAACATTTCCATGGCAACAACAACAAGAAGAAGAAAATAGACCCTAATTCAGTCCAAATAAGAGTCAGGTTTGTGGAGATACGAGCCCATTCAGAGTAAAAATGCATGTTTTCTGTATTTTTCAGTGCAAGAAAAGCAACCAAATTGAAAAAAACAACAAAAAAAATATGCTTTTAGTTTCTTATCTTGTCTATTTTTGTCTAAAAACTTACATACACAAGTTAAAATGACTTAAACTAAGAACATTTCACTTTATTTGAGTTGATTCAGCTTAAGTAAAATGATCAACCAATGGAACACGTTTGTTTTTCTAAATTCAAGCAACAATAGATTTTGTTTCTTAATACATCTTTAATACTTCATATTCAATACTTGATACTCAGGTACAAGTCTTGTGTGTTTAGGATCTTAAAATCTTCATTCGTTTAAGATTAAAGGACCCATATTACACTATTTTCTGATTTATGTTATAATGTTTCCTCATTGCAAACAGACCTGGAGTTGTGTTTTGTTTCATTCACACATGTTTAATTAACACACAAACCCTGCAGATTGAGCGTGAGTTCTTCTCTCAAATGGAAAAAAACAACAACTCTGTTCGACCTTGTGATGTCATGTGGTAAAACAGGAACTCCATGCACTTTCACTAGAATCATTTGGATCATTTCAGCCCTGGATTTAGTCAGACTGGTGTCACCTAGTGTCTCCGCTCAGTTTCATTTCTCTCCAGTGACTACATCAGGAACTGGATTACACTAGAAAGTTCGCAAAAACCTCGGAAGTGCGAGATCGAGCACCAGCCAATCAGCGAAGAGCCATTCTGTGTTGGCAACGATTCCCGAGATCTAGGATTTAATCAGGGTATCCCCAGGTTTGACTACCCCAAATTTAAGACTTTTTTAATTTTTATTTATTTATGTTTATTAAGGACATCACAATCGCATTAGACAAGCCAGATGCATTGCTTTGAGTGTTTTAGCACAGTTGCTAGTTTTCAACACCTCCATATAAAAATATAAACTACATGCATAAAAACAGAAAGTACAAGACACATAAATTACATACAGATAAAATATATATATATATAGATTTTCAGTGGATGCAGTTTTGACTGGAAACATACAATAACTTTAATTTCCTTTTAAATTTGTTGTAGTTGGTTTCCAATTTTAAATGAGCTGTTAAACCGTTCCACAGACTGGCCCCTTTAAAAGAGAACGAGGACTGACCAAGAGTCGTCCTGTACCTGAACAACACAATCACCACTAGTAGCGCCTCTTGTGTTCGCTCTGTGTGAACATTTTATGGTCCTGGCAAATTCTGAGTGTAATGGTGTATTGCGGTTAAGACACTTAAAAAATAATTTAAGATTGTTAAAATTTATAAAATTTTCAAAGTTAAAAAGTTGATGTTTCTTTGTAATTTCACAGTGGTGCCAGTTTTTGGGCTTTTTGTCAAGGACCTAAAGGGTCAGTTTGTATAATGAACAAAGCGGTTTTAATGTAGTTGAGGAGCCTGGGACCATGAGGTGATACAATAAGACAGATGAGAGAAGAATATTGCGTTCATGAATATTTTAGAAGTGTGGAGCGATAGATCTTTACGTATGAAACGAAAGCAACTCAGACTAATCTTAATCTTCTTCACCAAGTATTTTATGTGACCAGTAAATTTTAAATTTTCATTTAGAATGAGGCCGAGGTATTTAACTTCACTGACGGCTTGAATTTTCTCATCGTGCATAGTCACTTCAAAGTCAAAGTTTTTTGTTTGTGTACGCACTGAAAAACAAAGAGAAACTGTTTTTTTCACATTCAAAGTCAGGTGTGACAAACTAAGCCATTTTGAGACAAGTTGTAAGGCATGACTCAGGTGCCTTACAACTTAAAGACCTTTTAAAGACCACTTCAATGAAAATTAAGACCAACATCACACCCATTATGCAGGTGAAAAACAACAGTCCAATTCTAATGACCAACCAACAACCCGTACCGTTGTTGTTTTTTTTCCCTCGCTCCATTTAACATCACACTGCAGCTCGGTTGAGTTTACCAAAAAAATAAAAAAAAAAAACAGACTAATGAAATTTAAGACCTTTGTGAAAAAATAAGACTCGGGCAACATAATTTCAGACTTTTTAAAACCTTAATGTAGGAACATGAAATTTAAGACCTTTTTAAGACTTTTAAGACCCCGCGGCTGCCCTGTTAAAGCCGGAACAAAGACAATATTTGGTGAATTTTATCAATGGGAAAGATGTTATTGTCGCTTCTTCCTACAAGATTTGGGAAAAGCTTAATTTACCAGTTATCCCCGTTAGAGCCGCATTGCATACATCACGACCAAATAGCAACAATTGGTTAAATAAATAAAAGCACCCGCCTACTGTCGAGCGAACAAATCCTAATGCTGCGAGGTCACACGGTTTCCACGAAGTGAAACCGGCTGATGAATCAGGCTGCCAGGAATTCCCGATCTCTACTAAACAAAAAGTAAAATGTAGCTGTGAACTTGAAGACTGCAGCATTTTGAGATTTGGAAATGAATGAACAGAACAAAACACAGCTCCAGGTCTGTTTTTGACGAGGTAACAACATTATAACATGACTTAAAGCTCACAATTTTGTGTAATTTAGGACCTTTAACTGAAAACTGACACTATCCCGAGCTCTTGACTACTGTTACTGCTTCTATTAAGAGATTCACTCGCTGTAAATCCATTTCTTTTGGTTGAAAACTCTGCTTTTGTTTCAGTTGTTCAGTGTCGATGCTCTAACGTTTTATTTTTAGCTGATAACATGATTTGTCCCAATTGAATCCACATGATCTGTTTTATTATTGCAGCTATGTTACGTTTAGTAGCTGTAATTTAGGGAATTTCTTTTTAAAGGGCCCATGTTATGCCATTTTCTGATCAATGTTATAATGTTTCCTCGTCACAAACAGACCTGGAGTTGTGTTTTGTTTCATTCACACATGTTTAATTAACGCACAAACCCTGCACATTTAGACTGAGTTCTTCAGAAGGTCTTGGAGCCAGGACCGTCTGTAGTCGCACTCAGACATTTCTTTGGCAATCGTCTCAAAAACTGCCCAGTTCCGATAAGATCAGACTCCAATTTGGTCTGAATACAGTGATTCGCTAGCCTGATTCATTAGCTGGTTTCACTTTGTGGAAACCGTCTGACCTCTCAGTGTTAGGATTTGTTGTTCGACGGTAGGCGAGTACTTTTTTAATTTAACCAATCACTGATATTCGGTTGTGACGTTTGTTATGCGTCGCTAACGGGGCTAACTGGTATATTAAGCTTTTCCCAAATCCTGTAGGAAGAAGGACAATGTGGGTTTTTTCGGAAGGTTCAATGCGTGTCCTAAAAAGAAGCACGAGAGATGGAGAATCCGAGAGAACAGGCCACTTTATTTCGTCATTTTCCATTGAGAGGGATTCAAGTTGATTACCAAGTACAACTGCCACCCCGGAACGACGTCTCTGACCAACTCAAAATCAGGGGTAGCTTTATACTACATCTTGACAAAACATTAACTTGTTGATTTTGCATATACAGCAAGAAAATGAACAATACTGCTGACCCAGTGCACCTTATCATGGGTGGGAACATGCCACGGGGTCCACATATGTCAGTTTTTCTGCTTCGTGGCATCTCAAAGTCCAGAAAAAACATGTTCTTTATGGCACTCAAAGTACAGAAAAAACATGTTATATAGACCTATAGATAGTCATACGTGTTTTCCACCCTGTTGTCATTCTAAAGTCCATAATATTAGGTGAATTAGCATGGCCACCACATAATTTCCCACAACAATAACTTCTTTCCCCTTGAAAAAATTCACCAAACATTCTCTTTGTTCCTCGATCTCGGGAATCGTTGCAAACACTGAATATATCACTCTTCTCTGATTAGCTGGTGCCCGAACTCACACTTCTGGAGTTTTTGCAAACCGACTAGTGTGTTCTGATTCCTGACCTAGTCACTGGGGAGAAATGAAATTGAGCAGAAGCACTAGGGGGCGCCAGCCTGGCTAGTGATCCCCTAAAATATTAATAAACTCGCTAACTTTGCTGCTTGGGGCCTGACGTGTAGGTGGATGAATGTGACCTGACCGTTCAGACTGAAGTCACATGTCAAAAGATCAAATATAATAATAATAATAATACATTTTATTTATATTGCACTTTACATAAAATAATCTCAAAGTGCTACAGGTAAAAACAATGAGTAAAAAAAAAAGTGCATCAGCAAACAGTGGATCAAGCTAAAACCATTACAGGAATTAATCAGATAAAACAAGAATAAAATACAATTAACAAAAGACTTTAGTAAAAAGGTACGTTTTAAGATGTTTGTTTAAAAACAGAAATAGACTGTGGGGCTCTCAGGTGGTCGGGGAGAGCCGCACAGTCACACAGAGAGATGTATGTATCGGTTTTAGGAGTACATAAGCACAAGGAGAACGCTTGCGGGTAAAAATGACAAAATATTTTATCGGAAGTGCCTTTCGTTACAAACCGTGCAACGTTTCGGCACTAGGCCTTCGTCAGGCAGGTTTTTTTTTTGACGAAGGCCTAGTGCCGAAACGTTGCACGGGTTGGCCTAATAAATTTCACATTTTGCAAGTAAGACGGTGTGCGGGACTTTTCTCCATGTTCTTGGGCTGCTCCCTCTCCCCCAACGCACCCATCTCTAGTAACTGATGATCTCATTCTTTCATATCAGGGCTGAAATGATCCAAATGATTCTAGTGAAGGTGTATGGAGTTTAAAAACACAGTGGAGCGCTTCCTGTATTACCACATGATGTCGCAAGGTGGAATTTTGGAGTGTTTCTGTTTGAGACAAGAACTCTGAAGAAAGAAATTTGCAGGGTTTGTGTGAATGAAACAAAACAAAAGTCAGAAAATAGCGTAATATCTGCTTTCTCACCATTGTCAATTTTTTTTTTTTTTTTAAAGTTAAATTTTTTTCCCGTTTTTTAACCTGATTATCCCTTTTTTTTTTAAATTTTCAGATGTCTGGACTTCACCAGAGATGTTAGCTTAGCCCTGTCACCTCAGCACACCCTCGACGTCACCATGCTCCTGGCCCTAGTCCTCGTCCTGGCCCTGTCCTGCAACGCCGCGCACACTTCCAACTCTTCCTCCACCACATTCCAGTACCGCGTTTGGGAGGAGGAGCCCCTGGGAACGCAGGTCGGCAGTCTGTCCCGCGACCTCCACAAACGGGATGGACCTGGGCACTGGGACGGCTTCCAAGTGGTGGAACACGGGAAAACGTTGCCTTTCGCTGTCAGCGCTCAGGATGGGACCGTTTCCACCCAAGGACGCCTGGACAGAGAGCAGCTGTGTCGGAATTCTGACGTTTGCGAACTCGCCTTCAGCGTTCTCTACCGGAAAGGCGGCGACGTGAACTGCCTGAGAGTTCACGTCGAAATCATGGACCTCAACGATAACAGTCCGAGCTTCCCGAATCCGCTTCAAGAACTGGAAATTTCTGAAACTGCCGCCTTAAGGATGAGGATTCCGCTGGAGCACGCCGTCGATCCGGACGCGGGGCCCAACGGACTTCAAACTTACTCGCTGTCGACGAACTCGCATTTCGCTTTGGACGTTACGGTCACTCCTGGTGGAACCAAGCAAGCCGAACTGGTCATTGTCAAGGAATTAGACCGGGAAGTTAAAGACGTTTTTGAGTTAACCCTTGTCGCTTGGGATAAAGGTAACCCCCCGAGATCTGGAAGTACTTTGGTTCGCGTAAAAATTCAAGATTCCAACGACAACAGTCCTACTTTTGAAAACACCGCGCCGATTTTGGAGCTTTCAGAAGATACGGAAATCGGCACAGTCATCATAAATCTAAAAGCATTCGATCCGGACGAAGGCGATAACGGTTTCGTGGAGTATTCGATCAGCAAGCACACGCGCCCCGAGACGAAAAGACTGTTCGCGATCGATCCGGAAACTGGCAACGTTACCTTAAAAGCGCTGCTGGATTACGAAGACACGAACTCTCACGAAGTTATCGTCCAAGCTCGCGACAAAGGCCCCAACTCCATCCCTTCCCACTGCAAGCTCCACGTGAAAGTGCTGGACGTGAACGATAACGCGCCGAGAATCCACGCAACCTGGACTACGCCTGAATCGCCCGGTCCGAACATACCCGAAGGAGCGGAGATCGGAACTTTTCTAGCGTTGGTTGTGGTTTCCGACGCCGACTCGGGCAAAGACGGCGACGTTCAAGCCTTGTTAAAAAAAGAATCTGGACCTTTCAACTTGTTCAGATGCAGCGCAATAATTACAAAATAGTTACGAGCGACATTTTGGATCGCGAAGAAGTTAGCAAGTACACGATCACGATTATCGCTCAAGATCGAGGAAACCCGCCTCTGCAATCGGTTTACCAATTTCCTGTTTACGTTTTGGATCAAAATGACAACGCTCCCGTGTTTTCAATGCCGATTTACAAAGCTGAAATCAGTGAAAACAACGAGCCGGATTACGGGGTGTTACAAGTCGAAGCTCACGACATGGACATAGAGCTTAGCGGTAGAGTTTCGTACAGTATCCGAATGAGCAGTACTAGTAGAAGTAGTGAGAATGAGTTTCCGTTTTCGATACACAGAACCACGGGAGTCGTAACTGTTCACCATTCGCTGGATTATGAGCTAGAAAATTCGTATTCTTTCGAAGTAGAAGCTTTTGATCACGGATACCCGCCTCTTTCAAGCACGGCTAAGGTAGAAATTCAAGTTTTGGACGTAAACGATAATTATCCGATCATTTTGGAGCCGAAATCCAAAAGAGGCGTAGCGCCCGTCAGCGTCCCCATCAATGCCGAAAAGGGAGAAATTGTCGCCGAACTCGGGAATAACGAAAAATTACCGAGTCAGATTGAGGCCGGACGATTTCTCGCGTTGACGGTCAAAGCTACAGACACGGACGAAGGACTCAACGGCGAGCTACGTTACGTCATCAGCAAAGAGAACGATCACGGGTTATTCAGCGTGGATGAAACGTCCGGGAGTTTATACGTCAACACCACGAACGCGACAGAATTAATCGGAAAAACATTCAAAGTAGATTTAACTGTCCTGGACAAAGGAACGCCGAGTTTGTCCGCGAAGACGACACTCGAAATCACGTTCATCAACCTGAAAGACCATTTGAAAAGCTCTTCGGACGGGAGCAGAAACCATCTCAGCTTCACCATGATGATCGCGATTTGTTTGGGCGCCACGTGCTTGCTGCTGTTGCTCGCCGTCGCCATGGTGACTACGTTTTGCCGACCGGTGAAACGGGAAAACCACGCGTACAACTGCAGACACGCGGAATCGACGTACACCAGGCACCCCCGACGCCCGCAGAAGAACATACGGAAATCAGACATCCAGCTCATCCCGGTGATACGAGGTAGAAAGGAAGAGGCTCCCAATGACGACAGCGAACGCCAGCCGCTTTCGCCGCCGTCTACGATGTCCGAAGATCTCCAAAACGAACGCCAGTACACCTTGACGCCGTCTTGCCTCAACGCCAGCTTCCACTCACAAAGCTACCAAGACATCAACAGCTCCCAGCCGAGTATACATCACGGAAAAACGCTGTGCAAACCCGGGAACATTGAGCTGGACAGCCCTTTGGTCATAACGCCGGCGTCTTCTTACCGCACGCTCCGGAAGTCCAGGAATCAGTCGTCGTCCTCGTCCGCGTCGCACGCCAGCACGCTGAAACGGCAGAAAAGCGAGGAGTCCAACGAGTCGCAGGCCACACTGAGGAGGCAGAAGATGGAGGGACAAAGCAGGGACGAAGAGCACCAGAGGATGTGGAGGAACCTGGTCCGACTGTCGATGGCGGCGTTTGGAGATGCCATAGAGCTGTCGGCGGCTTCTCCAGATGTTCAAGTAAGACATTTTTTTTTCATATAAACAACAGTAAAGGTACAATGTTGTTAGGTTCTTTTTTCAGACCAAGAGTTTGTTTTCCTGCTCACTACCGCTCTTCCTCAGAGTCACGTGATGTTGCTGTGTCGTGTCGCTCAGCTGATTTAAACAGGTTTTGGCGCTGTGGAGGCAGGACGACAGCGCCACCTGCAGTCCCACTTCCTAATAACATAAAATATCAGAAAACCAAATGAATCTCATTGGACCAATAAAGGTACAAGTACAAATTTAAAGGTCTGTGTCAGCCCTATGTTTCCTCATCCCTAAGATTTTTCTTATTTCTAAGATTTTTTTTCTCAAAATTAAACTCTTAAGTCAAATCATTTTAATTTTTTATACCACATTTAAAGGGATGATTTAGAGTCATTTCAACCTCGGATCCTTTGCACCATGACCTCTACATTTCATCTGTAGTTAAATGCTGCGGTAGAATAGGTCAGGTGTAGTTGACGACCAAATTGGGAGAAATGGGAATAAATTCTGATGCAAATCGACGATAAAGAAAATGTGGGAATATAGGGTCTAATTTGAAAAAAACGAACAAAAAAAACTTAGTAATGTTGGATCTTTGACAGATTTAAAGGCTTTTAGAAACCACTGAATTTTGAAATCGATTCTTTATTTCATATGAAGCCAGTTTGGCAATAAGAGAATGGGGATGAGGATGTGGGTTTTTTATAAGGACTCTGACTGCAGCAGTTAGGGTAGGAGTGAATATTTAGGTAGACCTGCAAATAGTGAGTTACATATGGAAGATAATTTGTTCATTCAGATTTTGAATTTTAAATACGACTGAATTTCTCACTTTGAATTTTTTAAATCTGAAAAAAAAAAAAAAAAACATGTTTGAATTATTTCTATTCTGAATTTTAGTTGCTGAAATGTTATGTAAGTGAAGCGATCTGATTGGTCAAAATTTGCCTCATCAAACCTCAAACCCCGCCCACAAATGAGAGCGGCCTATAGGAAACAACCTCTGTCCTTCTCGCTCGCACAGGATCGATTGCTTCTGCCTTGGCATCGTGAATCTTTGTTGTGAAATTTTACACAGCGAATTTTACAATCTGAATTTTGACTTTTGAATTTGAGGGCTTGAAAATATCTGTGTTGAATATTTAAAGGGTGATTTTTTTTATTTTGAATTTGAAACATGTTGAAAAAGTATATTTAACATTTCAGCAACTAAAATTCAGAATAAAAATAATTCAAACATGTTTTTTCAGATTTAAAAAATTAAAAGTGAGAAAATCTGATGGAACAAATTATCTTCCATAGTTACAGTAGTAAATTCAACTGAAAATAAATGCATGAACTAGTGCTGTCATGCGATTAAAAAAATTGAGAGATTAATTAATTAAGATCTGTAATTAATTAATCTCATTTTAATCTCACTTGAAAATTGCTGAGAAAAGCTTCAATTTGAGGTATTTTCATTTAAATTCATTATTACATTATTGTGGCAGATCAAAAGACTGATATAGAACAAAAAAAAGTGACTTTATAAAGTCATTTATTGTTTAACAAATCTCTCCAAATTGGCTGTTGAGCCCAAGTCTCCATGAATAAGAAACTGTTTGCTGTAAAGTAGCAAAGACGAGGAAATCTGAACATAATAACTTTTGTCGACTTAAAGACAATAAAAAGTCCAGTCTTTCCTTAACCATATTAAAAATATTATTGATACAGAAATGCTTTATATATGAGATCACTGGTTTTAGTCCTAGTTTTTAGTCCTGGAATGGATTAGTCCTGGTTTTAGTCCTGGTGTTAGTTCTGGTTTAGTCTTGGTTTAGTCCTAGTTTAGTCCTGGAATGGATTAGTCCTGGTTTTAGTCCTGGTGTTAGTTCTGGTTTAGTCTTGGTTTAGTCCTAGTTTAGTCCTGGAATGGATTAGTCCTGGTTTTAGTCCTGGTTTAGTCCTGGTTTAGTCCTGGTTTAGTCCTAGTTAGTCCTGGAATGGATTAGTCCTGGTTTTAGTCCTGGTGTTAGTTCTGGTTTAGTCTTGGTTTAGACCTGGTTTTAGTCCTGGTTTTAGTTCTGGTTTTAGTTCTGGTTTAGTCCTGGACTAGATTAGTTCTGGTTTTTAGTCTTGGTGTTAGTTCTGGTTTAGAGGCGTATGTGAGAAAAACACGATCCACACGCGGCTCACGGGAGCACGTCGGTGTCCGCGCAGTGTCTACGGAAGGAAACGTGGTCCGAGCGTTCTCAGGTTAATGACGATGATGAAGGTGAAGTGTGTGTGTGTTGTGTGTGTTTGTGTGTGTTTGTGTGTGTGTTGTGTGTGTGTTGTGTGTTGTGTGTGTTTGTGTGTTTGTGTGCGTGTCCCCTCATGTGGCAGGTCACTATATTTACAGTAGTGCAGACATCATGAGTCTATGCAGGTTGTTTTCAGGCGATATTATATTTGTTATTTTCTTTTATATTTCACGTCGGGAGAATAATTTCCAAGACACGAATGTGTTTTTTACCTGTGCGCTGCTGCTCTGTTCTACTGGCTCTTTGACCTCGTCCATTGTGCGACTGACGCTGCCAACGTTAACATGACGTTTACATCGCTCTTACTGCGTGCGTTTTGTGTGGTTTTCCGGCAATGAGTGGAATTACCGAAATAAAAAAATGTTTAAATGTGTTTTTTTTTGTGTGTGTGTTGTTGTCTCAATAACACATAAAAACAGGTTTTATAATAAAGCAACTCACATACAGAAACACTAAAGTTAGAGATTAAAAATGAGATTAACCCGATTAAAAAACATAACGCGCTAAATATGACTGTAATTAATTAATCGCAATTAACGCGATAATTTGACACACCTAGCATGAACCAATTTTTCTGAATGAACTGGGTTAGGAATTGTGTGACGCAGACAATAATGGTTGAGGAACTATGTTTTTAAGATTCATACGCCTTCACTAGAATCATTTGGATCATTTCAGTCAATCTCTACTGATCTAAACATAAATTGTAGCTGCTAACTTGAAAACTACTGCTCCATGACGTCACAAGGTGGAACAGAGCATTTCGAGCTTTGGAGATGTAGACAGACTAATGATAAACGATTACTCAAACATTTGTGGATGAAACAGAAACAAAACACAACTCCAGGTCTGTTTTTGAGGACGTAACAACATTATAACTTGACTTAAAGCTCACAAAAGTCGATTTTGCGTAATATAGGACCTTTAAAGAGCTGCTGACTGTTTTGTTAAGAAAGAGAAAAAGAATCTGGACCTTTTCAACTTGTTCAGATGCAGCGCAATAATTACAAAATAGTTACGAGCGATATGTTGGATCGCGAAGAAGTTAGCAAGTACACGGTCACGATTATCGCTCAAGATCGAGGAAACCCGCCTCTGCAATCGGTTTACCAATTTCCTGTTTATGTTTTGGATCAAAACGACAACGCTCCCGTGTTTTCAATGCCGATTTACAAAGCTGAAATCAGTGAAAACAACGAGCCGGATTACGGGGTGTTACAAGTCGAAGCTCACGACATGGACATAGAGCTTAGCGGTAGAGTTTCGTACAGTATCCGAATGAGCAGTAGTAGTAGAAGTAGTGAGAATGAGTTTCCGTTTTCGATACACAGAACCACGGGAGTCGTAACTGTTCACCATTTGCTGGGTTATGAGCTGGAAAATTCGTATTCTTTTGAAGTAGAGCTTCAGCTCTGGACTCGCCAATCTCTGCTGAACTAAACATAAATTGTAGCTGCTAACTTGAAAACTACCGCTTCATGACGTCACAAGGTGGAACAGAGCATTTCGAGCTTTGGAGATGTAGATAGACTAATGATAAACGATTACTCAAACATTTGTGGATGAAACAGAAACAAAACACAACTCCAGGTCTGTTTTTGAGGACGTAACAACATTATGAACTTGACTTAAAGCTCACAAGAGTCGATTTAGCGTAATATAGGACCTTTAAAGAGCTGCTGACTGTTTGTTAAGAAAGAGTAGATTTTGATTTTTAATAAAAGCAGTGCGTTCACGTTGCATTAGCGTCACGTCTTTGTAAGTGAATGTGGATTAGCTGAAGCGTCACTCATCTGTCTGCGGAGCTCCACCATGTGCTCCTGGTTACTGCGGCTGTGATTAAGCAGAGGCCTCCAGGCTCTGAGATGAATGTGAAGAGACGTCTGAAACAACTACAAAGACTCGAGATAACTACTCACAAACACATCCACATTTCTTTACCTAAAACTTAAACGCACTTATATCGCGGTTCACCTTTCATGGTCTCGCAGATTTTTTTTATTTTTTTTAACCCATGGGTGGGTCAGGACTAAACCAGGTCTAAACCAGGACTAATCTTGGACTTAAGAGGGAGAACGCCGAGCAGTTTGTCTGCAAAGCGCGATCAGGCAATTGCCCCGTTTACCTCGGTGAGTTGTGGAGCTCTCCATCGGTCCCTTCTCCTGCGTCACCTCCGAGCCCGTCCCGACACTGACTCCTGGTTCAGTCCTGGTTCAGTCTGTGGCGTAGGCAGCGCAAAAGCTTGATATAATCACGGGTTAACGGGCGGGTGCGGTGTGGTACTGCAGGTCTCCAAAAATGGACCCGTGCAGGACTCTGCGCTGTTGGGCTCTATTATTAATTAATAAATGAATCTTGGGTTCGTTACATAAAGAAGGAGGAAAATAACAAAAAGGACGACAGCAGCAGTAAGTTTTAAGAAGGAAGTAAAAAGGGTTGTAACTTTCCTGTCTGAGAAAAGTGTATAAAGTTTGTGGTGAGAGGCTTTACAGCAGGCATGTCCAAACTATGGCCCGGAGGCCAAATGCGGCCCTCGGACACATTTTTCTTGGCCCTCAGGCTTCCAGGTAAATTGGCCCAAATGACCTTGCATCAATTAAAAAGTAATTTTTTGCTGCAAGTTTTTTGAAAATCTACCTTGATAAAGCAAATATTTAATATTTCGTGTGTAGTTTAAGGATTTTAGCATGAATAAAGACTGATGGC